AACAAAGGACTCAATCCTACCAAAAACACCCGCAAAAAAAATTCACATTAGAAATTGGTGAAATCATCACTTCCAACGTTCAAGTGATGCTATCTTTAAGGTAACATATTCAAACTGTAACTGTAAAAACGAATTAACCACTGTGAGACCAGCAAAAAAAATACTTGTCTCATGACCTACCTACCTATCAACCTTACATTTGCTTACAAATACTGTCCAGTGGCACCTTGATATACAAGTTAAATTTGTTCTGTGATGATGTCTCAAAACATTTGTAGCTCAAATCATCTTTCTACATTGAGGTAAATGGAAATGCACTTCATCCAGACCATAAATTATTTATTTATTTATTTTTAATCGGAAATCTGTACCCAGCATGATATCCAGTACTGCCTAAAGCCAGGCATGAATAACATTTGCTGCCCATATAACCTGCAAGCATGGACAATATGAAACAACGTTGGAGTTACTTTCAATAGTTTATTTTTGGAGGAAATGCGTATCACAAAAAGGCAAGGAAAAATAAAAGTCACATACCCAGAGCTTGTGAACTGAGATCTCATAGTATCAAATCAAAGTTTTGTGCGACTTAAGAATATCCATCCATCCATTTTCCGACCTGCTTTATCCTCACAATGGTCACGGGGGGTGCTGGAGCCTATCCCAGCTGTCTTCGGGCAATAGGCGGGGGACACCCTGAACCGGTTGCCAGCCAATCAAAGGGCACGAAGAGATGAACGATCATCCGCGCTCACACTCACACCGAGGGACAATCTGGAGTGTTCAATCAGCCTGCCATGCATGTTTTTGGAATGTGGGAGGAAACCGGAGTACCCGGAGAAAACCCACGCAGAGGCCCGGGGAGAACATGAAAACTCCACACAGGGAGGCCGCAGCTGGAATTGAACTTCCTCTGCACTGTGCGGTCAACGCGCTAACCACTGAACCACCAGGTCGCCTGAAGAATATTTTCCCTTTATTTTATTAGAATTTATTAGAACGCCAAGAAACACGGATCAAACAATAGTCTTCCTCTAAACAACCATTCACGTTCACAACGAATGTAACTAAAACAGTCGTCATCTGTGCTGAAGCATCCGAAGCTCCCCCGAGAGAATTTAGCACTACACACAACAATCTTCATTCAGCTACTCTTCCTTGTCTAAGGCTTTAGGAATGAAGCTGCAGTTGGCATGCTAATGAGCACACCACCCGGACACAAGTCCTTCGTTTGTAGTTTTTCTGCTTGACAGGTGGCATCCCAGTGATGGATGTGTTTGTGTCCGACCGAAACACCAACACAGTGTCAAGTGTCCCCTCTTGTACGCAACCTTACTCTGTTTCCTCAGTATTTCACTCAACTCTGGTTTTCAATTCCACATTTGCTACGTGGCTACCTTCCGATCATTAATCAATGGGCACACACAAGCACAGACATAAATCTCTGGGATTTAAAGACGGATGTCAACGCTTAACTTTTGTTTGGAGAAAAGAAGCAACAAAACAGCGAGGAAAAAGGTCTTTATCACCTTCAAGCACACCAAGCGAGAAGGAGAACGAAAGGTTGTTTTTATTCACACGGCAAGCAGGGAGATTGGTGCCCAAAAGCCCCCCCTCCCCCTCCCTCACTGCCCCAGGTTCCTGGCCGACACTGCCCCCACGCCCATTGCGACAAACACAAAAGATGTCTTCGGATAATCTCAAGGAAAGAAGTGCTCCTCTTTTATTCCTCCCCTCGTTCTGTTCCATCCTGTTGGCGACGTTGAAAGAGAAAGTCAACAAGGCTGCAGACCGAGAAGGATAAAGAGGGAGAGGAGGGGGCTCACAAAGAGTCCTTGACATAGATGACTTTTTCAAATGATTGATACAGACACTGATAAAGTTTCACCAGACATTATGTGACAAAAAGTCAGAGGCTTATGTTTAATCAATAACTTAGTTCCCCCTCAATCTTAATTCTCACCTGAGCAAGAAATTATGGACAATTGCAGGCTTCCGATTGTGATTTTATTTTCCTCAAAATTGCGATTGCGATTTGATTTGCTCTTATTTTTTTTGGAAGATCCTTTTCTAATGTACTTTACAACAATTAATCTTTATGACAACAACCAACATTACATCGAGTAGATGTATTATAGGATTAGGAGCATTTCCACTGTTTTTCATGACAAACTCATATTCAGTTTTTATTAGCAATTTTTTTAAGCCAGTGCCGGTCCCTATCGCCCGCTGCATCTGACAGGTTCCGGGCGGCAGCAAGTAGCAGCAAATGGAGCTTGTGGAGCTCGCTGACAAAACATTGGAGGATAACGAGAGTCTCCTATTTACTTGTTGGTAAAAGGAAGGCCAACAAGAAAACAATTATTCAAGACCACAGCAAGCGAAAGGAGCACTGCAGCCAAGTAGAGACTAAGGAGTATAATGCCGCGGTATGCTAGCAGTCAGCGACGAGACACACTAACAAACAACAGCAATGGAGGAGATCGAGCATGTTAACTTTTGAAAGTTTCATTTTTTTTTTTTTACCCCAAAGTGCAGCCAAGTGGAGATTGCAGTGTGCAAAACCGCAGTGTCTACCTCTAAAGGCACAGTTGCCCCTACTTGCCATCTAGCCACAAACACAGAGATGATTAATCAACCTATGGGTCACCAATTTATTACCGTATTTTCCACACTAAAAGGCTCACTGGATTATGAGGCGCACCTTCAATGAATTGCCTATTTTGTCATTTTTTTTATACATTGTGCGCACCATTATAAGACACAATCTACAATGCATCCACTAGATGGAGCTACGCTCAAGGAAATACCAACAGAACGATCAGATGTCAGTAAAACGTATTTAATAAAGCAGCGACACAGTTCACTTAACCAACAGCTAGTTATAACATTGACTCGTTAACGTTGAACTCTCTTGCCGCTGCTCTATTTCCGTGTTCAACTGCGTAACCGATCGCCTTAAGCTTTGTCAGCATGTCTCGAGCAAAGAGCCATTTTGGGGTCGAAATATTTCCGTAATAACCATACACAAGGCGCATCGAATTTTAAGGCGCGCTGTGAGCTTTTAAGAAAATGGAAGGATTTTCCGTGCGCCTTTTAGTGCGGAAAATACGGTACGACAAATGGAAAAGCATCGTGCAAAGTGATTACGTGCAATATGAAAGGGGCAAGAAGCCCATCAAACACCTTTTGGATGGACTACAACCAAATATTGAGCCATGTTCCAATTAGGGGGTTAATGGCCAGTGCAGTGTCGAGGTATCTCCAAGTGGCTCTCTTTGAAAACACGTTTATTTTCCATGTTGCAATCAACAGTTAGTCAAGTTTAAGTGACAGTATTTGCTACGAGACTGAACGCCCACACATTACACAACATCCAAACAGTGAGAACATTCGATACGGTGTCCAGTACACACACACACACACACACACACACACACACACACAATACTGTTGGCATTTATCTTCTTGTTCTGTTGTTGTTGTTGTCTGTGGAGGTGAACAAAGATGGTGACCACACAGCTGTTTCAACCTCAAAGCTGTCAAGCTGCCAAAGCGGTCCACCGCAGGGAGGAAGAGAAGACCCAACCCCCCCCGCCTGGTAAGTGCATTTCAAACTCCTTGTCAGTGAGTGTATTCACTGGACACTTCATTAGGAACATAATCTGAGGAGATCCAATACAAGAGCTGTATCATAAATGCACCGATATCTCGGAATGACAAAGTGCAGTGCAGCTCCTGGATTGACATGCATTAGGTGTACCTAATTTGGTGTCCAGTAAGTACGATAAAGTCCCCCCAAGTTTATTACAGCCACCCCGCCCCCAGCTGCTTAACAGCCATTAAGCTCGGCGACTGCAGTGTGCAGGTTCCAATCTTTTGAATCTCTTTTTCTCCTCAGCAAATTCAAGAGTGAAACCTTTTAGTCCCAAAGTATGAGATCATCAGCGGTCCGAAGTCCTCACAGGGATGAGGGAAAGGCCACAATATTAGGCACAACGGGACAAGCTCAAGAGATGTCAGAGAAAAGCTGCCTTGATACGGATGGTAATGCTCTTGATTGACACTCATGACTGTTTGTAGAGCTCCGTCAACTAGTTAACATACCAGTAAAGTCGAACCTCATTACAAAGTACCTCGAGGGACATAACTAATCTGTCCGTTATTCGGGTAGTTCGCTGTAACCGTTGAAATGGCCGCTAACTACGATGTAGAATACGGGATCAATATTTCTAGATGTAAAAACATGAATATTATACAGTATAAACATGTCGATAAAAAATATGTGTACACAGTATGAAGAAAACATTCAGTCAGCAAATGAAACCTGTCTACTCCAGTTCAGTATGCGCCGCTCCCCGAAGCCGTTTACGATCATCTGTTGGCCTCGAACTGTGTCAGGACCGCCCCGTGCCTCCGGAAGTGCAACAATGTACCGAGTCGATAAATAGCATTGTTAAGCAATGGAGGGGAATCCCGCGCTGTACATTTTCTTCAAAAGCAAGGTTGTGGCTGCAGTTAAGCTTCCCACGGCTGACTGTAACAAAGGCCTTTTCGTTATTTTGTGGGAAAAATCAGCTTCTTTTAATGAGGCTTACATTATAAAGGTGTTGTAAACAAAATCGGCATATGGCAAATCAATTGCGTGAAATCGGGACTTGAAAATGTGAACGTTATCTGGGTGAAAACGTACAAGGGTTCGACTGTAACATATACACAGATGAATACAATGCATATTATATTATATATTTCCCATATTTGCTACATATCTATCTATGTCTCTCTCTCTCTCTCTCTCTCTGTGTGTGTGTATATATATATATATATATATATATATATATATATATATATATATATATATATATATACCGTATATATGTATGTGTATGTATGTACATATATATGTATATATATATGGATGTATGTATAGCAGAGCCCCTCATTCCTGCCGACTGCTGTCAGGCTACTGAATAGACGAGACCTGAAAACCTGGACTCACCCCCACTCACCCATTTTAAATAGCACAGCCACCTTATGCAGCATATATGCAATTGCATATATCCTTATATCTAATATTTTATATGGCATTCGGTACTGTGTACAATTCATTTTAAAATTTTATTTTGTGCATGCAAATACTTTGTTTTTCTACTTTCTTCCCTCCAAATTTTGCTGCTGTAATTTGCAAATGTCTCCATTGTGAGACAAAGGTTATCTTATCTTATCTTATGTTATCTTATATATGACACAATCGTGAATGGATGTCAACCAGCATCACGGAACACATCAAACTGGAGCATTATCATCTCTCTAAAGGCACATTTTTCTTTGAGGTGTACCTAATATTGTGGCCAGTGTAAGTCAGATCAGACTACGCAGATGCGCAACAACACAGCACGAGAGGGCATCCACAATGACAGTTGTCACAGGGTAAAAATGTTCACCGGGTCCGCGCTGTGTGTCCGTTATCCGACATGGTAGCCTCACATCCGCCGCTCTCCGTTCTCCGGGTAATCCGCCAGACTGTTGAGCGCCTTCTCCTCGCTCTTGGAGTGCAGCGTGTCGTCGCCTTTCCTGGAGGGTTTCTTGGTGGCCCGCGACAGCTTCCTCCTGAACGTATCGCCGGCCAGGAAGTAGAGGATGGGGTCCACGCAGCTGTTGAGGCTCGCCAGGCCGCGGGTCACCTGGTAGGTGGCGTAGACGCGGTTGTTAAAGTCGCACATAGCCGGGCTCTGGAAGTACAGCCGGGCCCGCATGTTCAGGTTCTTCATGACATGGAAAGGCATGTAGGAGACGGCGAAGACGGCCAGGACGATGATAACCAGGTGGATGGATTTCTGCCGCAGGTGCGCGTTGTTCATGTCGTTGCGGATCAAGGCTTTGACGATCATGCCGTAGCAACAGAAGATGATGATGAACGGGATGCAGAAGCCAAAGACGGTCAACGTCATGCTGTAGATGAAGTAACCGGGCAGCTCATCCTCCGTGGTGGTGTCGTAGCAGGTGGTGGCGTTGCGCTTGGAGCCCGTCCGCGAGTAGTAGAGAATGGGCGAGATGGCGAGGACCACCACGCCCCACACCAGCGCGCTGGTGATGACGGCGTTCTTCTTCTTGAGCCGGCCCAGGGACTTGAGCGGGTGCACCACGCCCGTGTAGCGGTGCACGCTGATGCAGGTGAGGAACAGGATGCTGCCGTACAGGTTGACGTGGAAGATAAAGCGCTGCAGCCGGCACAGCACGTCGCCGAAGATCCAGTCAGTCTTGTTGAAGTAGTAGAAGATGAGGAAGGGCAGCGAGAGCACGTAGCAGAAGTCGGCCAGCGCCAGGTTGAACATGTAGACGGAGATGCTGCTCCACGGCCGCATGTGGCACACGAACATCCAGATGGCCAGGCTGTTGCCGACCAGGCCCGTGATGAACACCATGATGTAGACGGTGGGCAGGTAGTAGAACTGGAAGCCCGTCTTGGTGAGTGAGCATCCTCGCGAGTGGTTGTGCAGATCGCTCACGTTCAGCAGGGAGCTCAGGTTGAGGTCAGAGGTCATGGTGTCCGTCAGGGGCAGGGGCTTGACCTTTGACTGGAGAAAATCATCGAAAATATTACAGGAAGCAGACATTTTAGAGACAAATTGTGTTGCTGGTGCGAAGAAGGGACGTTGGACTGCATTTCCTTGATGGGGATAAAATCACTTAATTCATTTCCATCCATATTCTATGCAGCTTATCCTGTTCTGGGTTGCGGGGAGCTGGAGCCTATCTCACCTGACTTTGAGGAATAATGGCAGCATATCTCCTAGACCAGGGGTCATCAATTCCGGTCCTTGAGGGCCCCCATCCTGCATGTTAATAGGTGTCTCCCTCCTCCTTCTCCTAACGCGCCCGATTCAAATGATCAGGAACATCATCGAGCTTCTGAAGAACTTTCTGATGAGCTAAAACATGCAGGATAGGGGCCCTGGAGGACCGGAGTTAGTGACCTCTACCTTAGACTCAATTCCAAAGGATGTTTAGAAACAGACACGCTTTTACGTTCTTCATGATTATTGCCTCAATGATTTTGTTTTGTTTTGGGATTTTTTTTTGGGGCGTGAGTATTCTGAACCCCGTACGCCGTGCCAGTTTTCTTGGATCCAGCTGAACTTCCCACAGCCGATGTCGCGTTCTGCTTCTTGAGAGTACAAACTCATGGAGACAAAATAAACAGCACCTCTGCTGGTTGCAGCCAAGTAGCGCACAATTATTTTTTTTCACCCTACATTGCTTCAGAGCACGAGTGATCAATTCCATGCGAATCGATCATAAGAGAAATGGATTCATTGATTAACATTTACATCCCTTGTCGCAAGGGAAGGTGTAGCCACAGATGAGCTCTATTTGGTTTGAGGACAGTTTTCCACGTCTAAATAATACCGTGGGGGACTGTGAAAACCACATCGCATTGAACGAATCAGTCAATGTACGAGACGTGCTGCCAAACAACAACAATGAGGAGAACAATCGCCTGCCTTATAAATTTTACTCATCAAGGAGGCGCATTTTATCCCCCCCCCCCCAAAAAAAAACAGATTGCTGCAGCAAATACGATAGTTATAGTATATAACACCACAGCGCTATAAGCCAACAGGAACAGGATAAGCTAAAAGAAGTGCGTTCAGTCTCATCACTTCTTCGTCAAGTGTAGACGTAGTTGTTAACCGGACGATTTTCTCACGTGCTTTGTCATCCGTATGGTCAAAGTCAGTGCCTGCTTTTATCTGATTTTGCCAAATGCGTGTTGAGCCGCACCTATCAATCACATTCACACCTGATAAGAACTTGTTTTTGTAAATATTGAATTTAAATTACTGTATTTCTAACATGTACACCATTTTGACACAAAAAGGGTCGAGCCGAGATCTGAACCATGGTTCTTTTTGCCGTGAGCCGTGAGATGGTGGTGCTCATCGCTAAATCGATTTTATTTTCCAAAGGACTTCTGCACACTGAGCGATGCGGCGGAACTTCACTCGATCCTCGGGCACTGTGTGGGATTCTGCTTCAGGGTTTCACTAGTGGCTGACTGTCGGCCTTTGGTTTTGCGGCAATTCCAAATTTGAATCACGGTTGTATCCTGCGGTGATATTGCAAATTAGAGCCAATCAAAATGCACAGAGACTTTCAATTTATAACCGAGCGAGACATATCCACTTAACCACGCTTAGAATTTCATATGTATCTTTGGATGAAATAGTAACACAAAAATATACGCAAGCGGCATAGGTACCATAACATATTCAAATAAATGGGCACGGGCCCCGCCTTTCAGTGCATCCCCCATTTTCCCATCTTTATTCAAACCCTTGTCCTCTTTCTGCAGCAACCTATGTGTGCTTTGACTGACAGTCCATCTCATTATGCATTTAAAAAAGTGCTACCGTAGAACATTTTGTTTGAGGAGCCTCAGAATGCAATACAGGTTCGAACAGTTCATATTGCAAAAGTCCTTATGTTAAATTGGTCACTGTGTGGGGGTGAGTGGGCAGCTGTGATTTTTTTGTGATGGTCGGGTGCTCGTCGGATCCAAATATTTTATTTTATTCTTATCCCAACTCGTTGCCAAACAATTGCAGGGCACACATAGACAGACAAACCATTCGCACTCAAAATCACACCGACGGCCAATTTAGAGTAAACAATTAACCTACGGTGCATGTTTTTGGAATGGGGGAGGAAACCACGCAGGCACAGGGAGAACATGCAAACGTTACACTGGAAGGCCAAGACTGGAATCGATCAAACCCACAACCTCTGCACTGTGAGTTGGACCATGTGGACCATACTATATATATATATAGATCTATCTATCTATCTATCTATCTATCTATCTATCTATCTATCTATCTATCTATCTATCTATCTATCTATCTATCTATATCTAGATCTAGATATATAGATATATATCTATCGATAGATAGATATGACTGTGTATGGATTGCATTGCAACAGTTAGCTACATGCATTTATTCCCATTCACATGCAGAAGTAGTTGCGCACACACGTCACTTGCGGAACACACACACACACACACACACACACACACACACACACACACGCGCGCACACACACACACACGCGCGCGCACTCACACACGCACGCACGCACAGGCGTAGTGTACTCACCACTCGGGTCCGCTTGTAGCCCACATTCCTATTCCCACTCGGGAGATAATAAAAAAGAGCGAGACTGAGTCAGGTGTCCCTGGTCGGTCCGCTGAGGTTCTTGAAAAAAGTTGCGCACTTTCGACCTTGCATGGACTGACGCACCGAGGCAGTGTGTGTGAAAGTCAGTTACGTGTGTAGAGGGGGGGGGGGGGAGGCGGATTGTGCGAGTAGAGAGAGAGAGAGAGAGAGAGAGAGAGAGAGAGAGAGAGAGAGAGAGAGAGAGAGAGAGAGAGAGAGAGAGAGAGAGGGAGGGGCAGAAGAGCCACAAAAACCACTCACAGGCTTCCCGGACCGCCTTCTCCACCTCCTCCTCCTGTTCCTGAACTTTAGCCCGTGAAATACAGTACGTAAGAGATTATTGGATGATCCCTCATAACAATTATAACCCATATCTCGACTACATGCAAATCATTTTAAGGGCCCTGCAATGTGCGTTGCGGTGCTTTTTGGGGTCGGAAAACAGACATTTGAAAAAGGTTATTAGCCACGTGAATTGGAAGATATCGAGGTACAGTACATTGTGTCACAACGTTGTTGGATACAGCACAGCTGTGGTATCTAATGACATCCAATGGAAGAGCTGTGCCAAATTGTGCCCGGGCAAAGATGAGAATGCTCATTTTGGATTAAAAATCTTCCACTGAGCTAATTACTGGCCATTGAAATGTCATGTTGGAGATGAAGTGATTCTTTTTAAATTTTTACACCAAGTATCACCTAAAAATAACTTCACTCTCCGGCCCCACCAGAATGACAAAAATGTATGAAACACGCATGGACAACACACAAACCCCCCCGCCCCCCTCCCCAAAAAAAAACTCATGACCAGAAAACTCACACAAACCGCACACATGCAGAAACACAGACACAAAAACAAAAGTGAGAAAAAAATGAACAACACTAAGTTAAATGAATTTAATTTCCCCTACTTGAATTTAAATACATTTGTATTTTTTTAAGTAAACAATCTGAGAAAATATGAGCGAAAACTGAAGATAATATTGGTGAATTTTCATTAATGAAGTATTACATTTGTTAGATTTATTAAATGTGAGTACATTTGGAATTTGAAACACCATTCGACAAGTATATTAATTGCTCAATTTTGATGATCTATTTCCTTTTTAATTGAATCATTTCTATATCTAAATTACTGTAGAAAAGAACAGAGGGGAAAAAAAAGACAATGAAGACGATGTTCTGTTTTGATTGAACGAGTCATTTTGCAAATATTTTGCATTTTAGTCAATTCAATCACATTGTTTTAAACAAATGAACAATTTCAATGACATAACTTTTACTTTTTTCGATAACATCTATTTCAAATGAGAACCGAGGATTACTATCTTTGTCCAGCCAGTATTTGTGGGACGTCTTTAGTGATTGTTCTCATCAGATTGTGCGGGTACCCACCCAATGTTTTGTATGCATGCGGTGATCGGGGTTGTGGCTTTATAATCGTTCTCTTGTCTAAAAGAATCCTCTGCAGTCGTTCGGAAAGGCCAAGCGGGGCAGCGGACAATAAATAAAAGCAACAAGCTCATCAGGACTGTCACTTGTGTGTCCCCTGCAGGACGAGACAGCACAATGCAAGGGAGAACAAATGATGCTTGGCAGCAGGCGAGGATGCGAGCCGAAAGGTTAAGTTAATAACATTGTGACGCCAAACATCTCAAAGGAGAGCCAAAGACCGCAGCAATAATCTCATTTATTCCTGAAATGCCCATTTAGAAACTTGGTCCGAACCAATTAATTGGCCCGGCTGATATTAGCCCTTTTAAAATTGGCACAAATTCATTGTCTTCTCTACCCCCCCAATAAAACAAAACCATTCAACCCCCCCTCCCTCAAATCACCCCATTTTTGCTAAGCTTTCTCTCTGTTGCAAAGCTAAACAAATACTTAAGGACACATTTTTTTAAAACATTCAATACGCTGCCTGTAAGTCATATTGTTTACTGCTGCAAGCATTAAGGGACCCAAAAATAAATTTTTGATTCATTCTACATATTTTAATAATTGGTTGATTTGTTTTTGAAATCGTATTTTTTCAAAATATCGTAATTGGCGTCGTTGTCAAAAATTCGGTCAGGCCCGATGAGGGCCCCAAAATGATGATGACCGATCAATGAGAAATTTAGGCGAGATTTCAGGAGTTTTGTCTCCATAATAGTGTTCCAGAAGGCGAGATACAAAGGGCTCAATTTTCGTACAAAGGTGCACGTACGCTCGGCTTAAAAATGGTTGAATCTTCATTTTCGTGTCAGGGCAAGTCGAATTTATCGTGTTTGGGAATTTGCCAGACCACGCTGTTCGTTTCTGGGATTTCCAGCGGACCGAGGGCATTCGCCATTACATGCCCCCACAGCACCTGACAATTTAGTGACAGAAAGTAGACTAGACTTTAGACAATGCAATAGCAGGTCTAAATTGTGGCACGGGTGGTCAATTTGATCGACGTGCAGGCAGACAGATTCCGTGCCCGCTGATATGTACGGTGGATTTCATCGTAGTTCATTCATAGATATGGGAATCGTTGTCGAAATAAATTCATTGAAGGCGTGATTATTATTATTACTATTTTCATCTTTACTTTTGGGGTTAAAACACCACCCTGGGGTGCAGCCCAACTATGCTGGAGGGGGGTATAAAGGTTCAGAGTGGAAGGCTGTTTTCAAGTGTCTGTGATAGCCCGAGCAAACTTTATACGATCCGCAAGTAGATGTCTTCTTACGGTGAATTAAGAACGTACTTTGAGCGCTTGCATCTTTTGCATAGACTCCAGTACACCTCTCCTGTGCTGAATTTAAAGGGAATGAGTCAAGCCGCTTTCTTTGGCCTGGAAGCAAGTCGGCTGTGTTCACTCCCTCAATGGCGCAAATGTCCCTTTCTGAATGCGCCCATCTCAGAAAATACCTAAAAGCAAGGAAACCCCACCCATGCGCACAATTGGACTGCATGAAAATAGGGCTCAGTGTCAGAGAGCGCATTTAAAAAAAAGTTTCTACCAATTGCTCTTTGGCTCATGGACTGCTAAGATTGATTTGAATGCAATGACTTGGCAAGGTGAGCGGAGCTCTCTTGCCCTTGCTCATATACGTTTCAAGTCTCTCGACATTTACAGAAAAGCCACTTAAAGCTTCTCGTATGGAAAACCGCGCTAATGTCGCTAAGTGGACTGTCTGAGTACGAGGCCGTGTTATCAATCTGAATGATGTCGCCTAAATTAAACTAAGCGATGCGTCGGTTCGAGACATTTGGGTCGGAGTTGCACGTGAGTGTCGAATAGATTCAATTAAACAAACCTTACACTTTATCATGTCTCATCATTGGAAGATTCCATTACACTCACTATGGTCACAAAGACTGTACAAATATTGTGGGTATTTTGGCGAAAAATAGGACTCCAAATTCGCTTTTTTGGGAGGCTTTTGTTTGACGCGGACTCATTTGAAATACTGGATTGTGACCGTTGCAATATATTTTTCATTTTAATCAATGTGTTCCTTCTGATTGACTGGCGACCACTTTCGGCCTAAGCCGATGTGGTCAGGACAACTGCTATATAAATAGTTACTTGTACAGGGTCATATTTGCTGTTTTGTAAAGAGTATGCAATGCCAATCATATGGGTTTTAAAAATATTGCTTGGAAAATTAGTATGTTGTGTAAAAAAAAACAGCAACATTGTAAATTTGTAAAGTAAAACATGAAATAAACAAAAAAAATGTCTAATATATCACACTGGATGGGACTGTGACTGTTTGGTATAAAACACAGAGGAGGCACTGCGGGAGTTTGTACGTTTGAATATTAAAGTCATATTTTAATTTAGTAGTTATTGTAATGATGTCACGGTTCCTTTCTGTCATAAAAAAATGCTTTTTGTCATCTTTGATAGCCTTTTATTGGGTTTGCAAGATAATTTGGGGTTTAAATAAGCAAACATTGGTCAAAAATAACTGTGATTTTCAACGGTCCGTTTTCTCATTAGCACGCAAGAAATATTCAATGTTCGTCTTCATTTGTGACGGTAAACAGCTTGTCTCTGATTGGCCAGTTACAGATCTGAGGGCGTCCTGTGGCCACCTTTCGTCATTGTCTTGCCTCTGTTGGAATTCAACGGGCCAGAATTATTCTGTGTTTGGCAAATTTCACGCGAGACGGCCCCGTCAAGTCAACCCAAGTGTTCGCACAAACTACAGGTACAAGCGACAGAGCCACACATCCACACACACTTTTAGTGAGCTACAGTTGCTTGTTTACTTACAAACGTGGCTTGTCGAGAACATGAAGAAAATAAAAATGCAAATCGCGTACGCACTGAGTAATACCAATGAACATGCTCACCAGTACACCCAGCAACCTTCATAGCGTCATTATAATAATAACAAGAATGCACGCAGTGTGGTCCTATAGTGTAAAGCAGCGCATGTTCCATTTCCTGCGGGTTCTGACCTATATTTTTTGACATTCCCGCTGCACTGGCTCCATTGACACCCCAATCAGCATCACCAAACCCACTTTCCCGCTTGTGTCATTTTAATTACCGTCGGCGGGATCCAAAGCCACAGTCCGATGCTGCTGACCTTACGCGGCTGGAGCATCCTCTTCTTTCTTTAGGGAAATCAACTTGGACGTGTGTTGTATTACTCCAATTTGTTGTAATGTTATTCATAACTTGTGCTTTGTGCATTGCTCCCCTTATGGGTTTGTCTGGTGGAATTTCCATTTACTGTCATTGCATCAATTCTGATTTGCACGCTTACTCTCCGCTCCAACAACACCAGCACCACACCGGGCTGACTGGAATCTATGGATCTGCTCCCCGTTTCCCATCCTATCTTCTTCCAGGTTCTCTTTCCCACGAGAGTCCGCATTCCTGACGCCCGTTGAGCTCAGCTGGCTTGAACATCAGCGCGTGAGCTTTGCGCACGTGCATTCGGTCAGTTAATGCCTGTTCTTTTCTCCATGTGCTTTGTCTCCGTTACCCTCTCTTTGCAATGCGTCACGTTCCCGATGCCATTATTTTATGACTTGTACATACATCACATGAAATGGAGAGAGAGCTTGATGGATGATCAGAAATACGGTGTCTCGACCTGCTGATGGAGCAATGCATCAGCTGTCATTCAGCCAAGCTCCT